ATAGCCACACTGCTTTCCACAGCTGGACATCACAGCTCATCCTCTGCAGCAGCTGCCACCCACACAGGCAGAAGTGAGCTGGATGCATCTTTGCATGACTCAGTATTAGTATTTTGATTCTTTTTCTCTAGTTGAAATCATGCTTATTTCCCACATAAACCAAATTCTGATTTTTTTGTTGAGTTCTAGCTGAAATATGGCCACATGCATGATGAATAAAACTGCCAGAAGAGATGCTAGATGTGTAAGCTAGGCTTACACGTGGGAAGGATATTGATCTAGACTGTAGAGTCTACACAACTAGAGCAGTACATGCTTGAGAGACACCTTCAGGTAATGTAATCCCATGTGTGACGCTTGTACATTGCAGAAATAAATTCTGTAAATTAATATAAGGTGATTTTGAGCCTGCAGACAGGAGAAACCTGGTCCCAAAAGCTATTAAAGTTCTGAAAAATATATTCAACAGTTTCACTGAGCTTTTTACAGGCCCCAAAGGCTCTAACCACTGACAAGCAATGCTGTTTTTTTTTTTTTATCAAACGTAGACAGACCTCAACTGTTCACTTAGTTATTGCTCTTTATTATCAACAATACCTTGTCATTGACTTCATTGCTTAAATCATTTAAGACCATTCCTGTAATTTAATTATAGTATTTTTTTATTGACAGAAAAAAAGCTTTTCTACTGCTTCCTCAATTTAATAGTTCTTACATAATTATGTAAGAAATTCATATACTAGTTTTTGAGATTGCAGAAGCAGCTTCATTGCTGTGACCTTTGCCGTACTCACAACACTGGAAAAAAGCAAAGCAGCAAATCACTAGAAAATGTAAATGACATTTTAATATGATTTTCCGTTCTCTTCAAATACAGTGATTATTTCCTGGTACATAAACTGTTGCTTCCCAGGCTTTTTTATAACTCTATTTGTAAATAGAAGAGAGAGATTTCAGTAAGGAATTCTATGTTGTTGGCTTCGGTCTAATACTCTTCTTTTTTATACTAACATATTTCTCCTTCTCTGTATTCTCTGTGTTATCGTATAGAAATGTTAGGAGAAAATAACTCAATTTCACAATAATTTCAAGGTTTACAGAATTTAGTTTCCTTCTAACATGCAGGGAAAACACCCATTCAAATATTTTGACAAAGGACATCAAAATGCCCATATTCACACTCTGTGGTCAAGAGGTCCAGAGTTTCAGTACAGTTTTACCTTTTCAGTACAGTTTTACCCTCAAAGGATTCTGTCCTATTCCTTAAAAACCCCGTGCTCAAGCTGTTGTCAAAATTGATAAATCTCAATGAAACATTTGTGCCTAGTCCAAACAAACAAACAAAAAACTCGTCAGCAATAGTCCAACCCACCAAAACAGCAGAGAAATTATCAACATCCTTCTCCAGAATAAAATCTTACTGGTGTAAGAATAGGGCTGGTTTAACAATGTATGTTGAAAAATATATGTTAAAAATGATGGAATGATGCACTTTTTGTTTTGCCTAAATGATTCAACGGCTTTGCATGCATAGCTCTCTCTCGAGTTAAAAAACGCTACCTGATTGAAAATGCAGGTTGGGAGGTTTTTTTTTTCTAATTTGCTCTATTTTAGAAGAGATCAAATTATATTTTTTCTTTCTAATGTATTACTTGGAGCTGCTGGCCTACCACTCATTCACATTTTCAGATTTTTCAAGGCTTTCAACTTTGCAATGACAGCCTCCTTTCAACATAGTCTTTTATGTAAACACTTTGCTTCCTGTTTTGCTTCAAAGCAAAAAGATAAAGAAAACCCAGCAGTTATGCAGTGCCTACCAGAAGAGGTACTATATTCATGACGAAGTCTTCGATACAACTATTTTGTCAACCACAACAGAGCTATTTCCAGTTTTTTCAAGAATTGCCATTATATAAGCCAGTTCTTTCTTCACAGTTACAGTTACCTATGTCATTACTCCTTACACAATCTAAAAAATATATTTTTTTTAGATAACATACTTTATTCGGCCAATGATTACAGTTAGTTAAAGTTGATGTTGGGTGAAGCAGACATGCTTTCAGGTCTGAAATATAAGAGAGAACTTGAAGGTTCTCAGTTATGTATAATTGCCCTGAATTATACTTAATTTTGTTTATTAATCAGTCACATATTTAAGAGGAATGGTTCTAGCCAGTTTACGCTGGTCTGAAGGAAATTGGCTTTTGATGATGGATCTAAGGAGACCATGTGTTGTTTGAAGGGAAGGAAGGATGGTTCTAAGAAAATTCATTTCAAGGTATCATTTTTTTCCATGTAAGTTGCCATTTGTCGACATTTTCCACTATGGAGTTCTTGTGCATTGTGGTATATGATAACTGCTGGAGGATTTTCTCTCTATACTGTAAGTTTGTACAAGGTTTAGGTGGCTTCCTCAAATATGCGTTCCATTTCTTAGAGAAGTGTCACTGTTGGATGAACGTCATCTGTAGCTTGGCAAGGGTGTGCCGTGAATGTTCTCCTCAGAGCAAATGAGGTGATGTCTGTGGGCTGCTTGTATATCACCATTTTGGTAGTGTGCTTTGGATAGCTGCTGGTTTGTGGAAGGAGGTGTGTTGGTCTGTGGATTTTCTGCATATGGTAGTTTGTAGGTTGCTATTTTTTGTGTTGACCATGGTGTCTAGAAAGTTGATGCTGATGTAACAGTTTTCCAGAGAGAGTCTGATGAACAGTTCTGCCCGCTGAGGAAATCCAAGATTTCAGTCCAGCTCCCATGTATGCATTGTAGGTACCAGCACTGTTTTGATGGACTGTTATTTAGAATCCGTTTCTTGAGTTGACTCATGCAGAGGAGCCTGATATCCTGTGAGACCACCTGGCTGCCTGTGGTTATGCCTGTGATTTGCTGAGGGTGAAACTGTTGTTGACAAAAATGAAATAGCCTAGGTTAACATATATGAGATGACAGCAAGGAAGTTGGTTTCACTTTTTTGGTTGGTTTCACTTTTTAGCATAATGCCTTCTTAGTGTGGCATGTTAGTGATGATAGTGAAAAAGTCAGTGTTGGTAAGAAGGTAGTTTTTGGTCAGGAAGAAGTGCATGCTCTTGAGAAAGCTGCTTGCATGTATAGCAAAGCATTTAAACATGTTTTCTGCAGATCCTCATAGCTCTACAGCGAAAATCTGCCAGGATTTCCTTACGTAAGAATAGAGAAGCACATGAGAGGCTTCATGTGGCAAAAGAAGTAAATAAATTATGCATTTTTCCTTCTTCATTAGGAAGGGATTTGCGCTGCAAGACAAGAAGAGCAGAGGTCTTACTTAAGTTCTTTATTTTACAAAAGTATCAAAAATTCACCTGTTAATATCACTGATGCTATTCTAACTTCTTCTATATCACTTTTTAATAAATAATTGGTGACTGGATCCTAAGAACCATGTAGACTTTGTCTTCCATGGTAACTGCTGCAGTTGTGCCTTTCAAAAATCATTTCACTGTTGTCCCTCATTTTGTTTCTAGAAAAGTTCTTGGAGACAGAAGAACAGTTCCTGTAATTCTCTGGAGACCACAGTGTTACCAATATTTCAGAGCATAAATACAAACAGAAAGGGAGTTGGTTGTGGGCTAGCCATTCAAGGTTGGGGTATTGCTCCATGGCTTCCTGATGGGTTGGGAAACAGGTGCTGTCACCATCATTTCTCAGATGTGTCTCCTTGGTGGGGTAACCGTTACTGTGCTATTTTGAGTTCCGTGTTGAATGACATCAGCTTATTATGATAGTAACCTGTTGTACTGTGGTGTGCTCCATTTCAAAGATTTTCCTTTTAATTTGTTGGAGCTTGTAGTTCTCTCTTGTTCCATCAGCCTCTTACGGAGTTGCAGTTTCTCAGCTCCTTAGCTTAGGATTTTTCAGCTCCTTAGTTTAGGGAACATAGCAATAACATTCTGTCATATACCAAGAGTCAAAGAACTGCACCATTTTACTACAGCCCCAAAGAGTTACATGGATCTGTGTTGTTCTTATGTTCTTCAAAGCCTGTGCTGGATTTCAGTTTGCCTCCAGCTCTTGTCTGGACCGTTTTTCCCACTGAATTATAGTGGGCTGCAGAGCCAATAAATCTGAACTGCCTTCACAGATGAGCTCTTCCATGAGATTTAGGAGGAGAATAGTTCCCATGGGTAGTTAGGCACAGGAGACAGATCTGCCATGGAGACAGTCACAGCTCTGAGATGTAAATGGGGTAAAAGCAGAAGTTCAGAGGGAGGAAAGGCTCCAAACAGACAAATTGCAATAGAGAAACTTCTCTTTGTGTGAAGGGGAGAATTGATCTAAACAGGACTTAGAGAGGACTGAAGAGTTCATTTTGATCTGTCTTTATTATGAACGGGTTAAGAGGTGGCAGGGGGTTTAATCCCTATGAGATGAGTGAATAGCTGGCCCAAGCAAGACCATCCATGGCTCCCCAAGCGCGCGGCTTTGCTCCCCCAAGGCAACCCGGGGAAAAACCATCCTTTGGTGAGTGGCAAACTAAAACTTTGGAGACCCGGGCTCCGGGGTCGTAAGGCAGCCCGGGGAGGCAGCCCAGGCGCTCCACGCGTGGGCTCCCCCGCGCTGCCGCCCTTTCCCCCGCGGCCGGGGCTCGGAGCGTGGCGGGAAAGGGGAGGAGCGGGGCGCGGGGCAGGGCAGGAGGCGGCGGGCATGGACGGGCGGCGGGCGGGACGCGCAGCCCATAAGAGCGGCGGGCGCGGGGCGGCGGCGCCGCTCGTGTGGCGAGGCCGGGCAGCTCGGCGGCGCCGCG